GGGGGGGGGGGGGGGGGGGCGGTTTCGGGTTGTCTCCGCGCCCCACCCGGACCGGTATGCAAAGTCGGTGGAAGGGAGCGAGACGCGCGCGTGCTGTTTGCCTTGTATGGTGTGTTTCCTTCTTGGGATGTTTTTTTAGTGAATTTTCTTGTCCTGGCGGTAAGGTACCCTGCAGTAGTGTTTGGTGATTGTCTTGATTGGTGCACCAGGGTAAGGGCACCGGGTCGATTTTGATCTGGCGCAGCAAGGCGACGACGTGATGTGCATGGCGCGGCAGGACCCGACGGTGTGTCAGTTTCCATGGAAACGCGCGCGGCCCTTTTATTCCTTCTTGGCGTGTTCTCTGTGCGGTTACATAGATAGCATTCCTTGCGAAGACTCGTGTGTTGAGAATACCTCGATAGACCCGCTATTTGGCGGGAAAACTGTTATCGTAGGGCGAGAAACGTCAATGGCGTTATGTTTTTCGAGGGGGGTGGTGGACGAGGGCAATGTGGGAAAACGTGCCATCTTGGTGACCGCGCGGTAGACTGGCAGGAGACGCGCTGCGTTCCGACGACAACTTGTTCACGTTCTATTGCCATAAACCTTTGTTTGAAATGCAAACGCATTTACGCCACCAGCACCAGCACCGGCGCAACCGTACACCCGAAGCTATGGGACTTGAGAGCAGACAACAACTCCTACGTAGCTGATATTTGTCTCTCCCCTCCAAGAAGACTGCTGGGATCTCACGCTTGCCACCACGTAGCGTAACCAACCTCGCGAGAAGGGCACCATGTGCGTTGTGCGGGTTGGGGGGAAGCGGGATCCACAACGATCTTGCAACGGTTTGAACAGTTTGTCAAGGCAAGACGCTGCGTGTACAGTAGTGTCGGTCGTATTTATTAACCGTCTGAATAGAAGCGTGGGTTGGTCGAGAAGATCGCGAGTGTTTTTTTGTTCGCGTACAGCAGTTCGGGGTACGGCCGACCAAGGGCCGACATAAACTTGTATGCATATCATCTCCAGAGAGAGAGACGAAAGAGGCCATATTATCTGGTTTTGTTTGCAGCTACAGCAGTAGTTGTGACGAAAGACAACAATGTAATGGTATTTGACCCCTTCCTTCAGAATCAATCACCTTTGAGCTGTGTGGAACTCTCTTGTCCGACCACAGTAGCAGGTTGTTGTTGCTTTCCGTTGTTCTCTTTCTCTTGATTAACGCTTTCCAAGCCAACTCACAATATCCCACGCACACGCGATCATAGATCGCCTGTACGCACACACAGAACAGAAGGGCACATGTCTCGGCATAAAGCCCTGATCTAGCATGACGTCACGTCTTATCATCCGACGGCGCCAAATAACCATGATCAACCACGATCACTTGTCTACCTCCAAATACCATAACAACAAACAACTGCCGGTTGACGAACGAAACTGCGGGTTAAGAGTTTTGTTAAATCGTTAAATCGATCGGTGTTATCATGTCCCGATCTCTCTGGGTTCCCTGGCCATATCCACCCGTTGCTTCCATATTTATTTTTTTATCTCGGAGGACGATCCGATTGACGTATGGTATTGTACTGAGACCCCCTCGTCCCTCGTTCATTCCTCGCCCACGCTCTGCAATTGGTTCTGCCGCTCTTGCTACCGTTGCTTCAATTCGTCCCCACTCACAAGCACCCAATCACCCGATCGATCGGCAGATCCACATTCATTCGTTCGTTCTTCAATTAAAAGGCTTCCTACACCCCCCTCCCTTGTAGTTGATTGCAATCGCGCGCGTTGACATTGAGCACGTCTGTGAGGGGGATGGCAAATCTGAACAATCATTCACGACCACCGGCCATTTTAGCTGCTTTCTATCCAGCTTACAACACGCCAACACAGTCTTTGTCTGGCAAGTCGAGGGGGGTGTCTCCTGTGCGCTCTGTATGAAGTTGAACCTACAGCAGTACAGTGTAGGACCTCCTCTGCGCGTTACAGTGTAATCTACTGACTGTGAGTATACCCCGCTTCAGGACCTGAGGCCCCACAACGAGTGTGTGCGTGTGGTGCACTAGATAGACGACTCGCTTTTTAGAGCTCCCACCCGTCTACAACAGAAGTTAACTGTTTTCCACACCAAGGGCAACAAGGTGTGTGTTTGTTTGTCTTCTGTGCCACTTAGAAAAAGGTTCCTCCGTAATATATAAAGATGTTTGTAGACAATTATTCATGATGAACACCAACCGCACAGAGAGATCATAAAAAAATACTGCTATTCGACGCTGCGTGAAATCCAGAGATGTTCTTGATGAACCTACTATCCTAGAGTATCCTATAGCCTGACCCTACCATGCCATGCAGAGAGAAAGAAATACAGCAGTACTTTGCAGTACTTCGTGTTT